CCTTGCTGTGTTCTTGAATCTGAAAGATGTTTCAGTGGAAATTATTCAAAACACTTGCAGCCATTAATTTGGAAACTCCTCTTTAGTACAATCCTCAAAAGTGCTGACCTTACATCCGGTCTTTTCAGCTTCAAATACTCCACATACTACTTACACTTTATACTTTGAAGTCACTTCATTTACTGATTAAAAGCATTTAGAATTCTTTATGTGGAAAAAATAAAATTAAAAAATTGATAGTACATCAGCATTATATACAACTTCTGTGGACAAGTAAAGAATTCCCTAACTACTTGAGGCAAAAAAACAAATGCTGGGAGGAATTTGGACAATATACCAACATATGTAATATACTGACTTAACAGCTTAACTTGATGATCACAGGTAACATCTCATAATCACCTGTGTCTCTGCCGACTTAAACCTACTGCTCTGGTTTACAACAACCAATTAACAGCTTCTTCATTTTAGCTTATTGGTTTTAGGAATTGATTATACAGCTGTAATCCACAACTGGGACTGCTTGACACCAAACACTATGTTGGGCCCACAGACCCAGACTGTGATACATTGAAAACTCTAAAATAAGCAAAGGTCTCCTGAAAAGGCATTTTCATTAACACAGTGCTGTGAAATCTTCCCTTCTAGTGCCAAAGCGCCAATACATCTGACACCACATTTTGAGAACACAAATATTTGCTATGAGTTGGTGTCCACAAGTGACAGATGCAACTTACACTCAAACTCCACTACATAATCATTACTTCCTTCTTCCCAAGAACAGGTAAATCAGAGATCACATTCTTTTTTCCCCTCACTCCATGATCAAGAAAAGAGTACAACTTCATAAAAACAATTTGCTTCTTCAAAGCTCAAGCAATCCAGCAACAAGAGAGGATGAGGATGGTATTAAATTATGCTGCTTAACTGCAGAGGTTAACTGTTAGAAAAAATTAAAGCAACAAAGCTGCTTAAAGAGACAACAGTAAGATAGAGACAGGATGATCATTCCCTAGCTTCATACACAATGTCAGAAATAAGTCCTGAGACAACATCAATATTTTAAAACTATTTAAAAGACTTTGTTTAAACAAATTAAGAAGTGTTTCTTTGCGTAGCACAATTCCTATTGCATAAAACTTAAGACATTTCTTACCTTTCCCTGAGCTTTGCCTTAGTCACAGAGTTTCCCTAGCTAAGCTTCCAACTACACTGCCAATCAGAATTACTGGCCAAATACCTGGGCTTGACCAAACTGTTTGGCAGAGGACTGCTAGCAGGAATCAAAAGACAAAAGCAAAAACTTTCCATTCCCATGATCCTTGGCCCAACCAGAGATTGAATCAATCCTCAAACTCAGTTTACAGCAAACTAAGAACTAATGAAAGTTGTATTGGCTGGATTAGTTCTCCACAGCAGCTCCCCGACTAGAGATCACCGCAGCACTGAATTTCACCCCTCTCACCCCAAAGTTCTCCGCATTATGGACAGGCTGAGAAGAGATGGCACAAAGCAAATAATGCCAGCCTTGTGTCACATCACATTGCTTCAGTATTTCCAACCTTACCTATTCTGTAAGGGCAGCTTTTTATCTCCATGCACCAAATAAGCACCACCAAAGTAAGAATTAAACCTTATCTTTAGAATCACTTTAATGGAAACTATACTGTACACCGTGGAAACTAATGCTATAATGCCAGTTTGTGAGCAGAAAGAGAACAGAAGAAAAAAGACAACATAAGACTAAAAATTAAGATAAGTATGCTAGTTTAGATTAACACCTCTTCTCCTATTGTGCAAGAGTGTGGTAGACAGTACACAAACTGAGTTGAGGTTGTAGAAAGCATCAAGGTGGCAGGCAGTAGTTAGCACTGCAGTTTTGGGTATGTGCTCCGTACAGATATGAAACCACAGAAGACAATACCGAAAGCCCTTAAAAATTATGTCACTGAAACCTGGAATTAATAAAAAGATTTAGCCTTCAAAGGCTGTAACAGATGACAACATCTTTAAAGCCAGCAAGTATCCTCTCTTCTGACAAGGACAACTCCATTGTTAAAATACCACTAGGCTAGAAACCGTATGCAACTAGGTAGCTCTACACACACACACATAGACAGTTATTTAATATTACAGTTTTAGAAGTTATTTTATGTTACAGCTTATAATATCCAGCTGTGGACTGCAAAATTATATAGAGTGTACTAAAGTAGAAAATAATTAGCTAATTAAGCAAAAATGGGCCTTTATTGACAATATTTTTAATTTTGCTTCACCAAGTTTTCCTCTGTGTTTTTATTTTTTAAAAAAAAAAAAAAAAAAAAAGCTTAGTTTTTTGAAGACAGGATAAAGCTTCTTCCTGAAGAACCTTGAAAGGAAGGTTCTACAAGCTGGGAAATCTTTATCAGTTCTGACATTTTTGAGACTACCCAAATAACCACAGTAGAACACTGACTAATACTAAGTACCAGGAAAGTTACACTTCTATGGTAAACCCAAATTTGTACATGCTATTAAAGAAGAAAGTGACAAAAGTTTAATTTTCCCACCTCTCTTTGTGCCCCTTCCAACTGTCAACCCACTCCTCCTGGCAGCAGACAGTATTAATTGAATGCCACTGAAATCCGTGCTTTTAATAGGCTAATAGACTGTTATCATTCTGGATGCTGGTTTGAAGCTATCCAGCTCCTGCCTGGAAAATTCACCTATACTGTCTCCTGCCACAAGCGGGGAAAAAAGAAAATAGCTAAGCAATGAGATAGCTAGAGAATACAACATCAGTCAGTCCTGATTACTGCAACATTTCTTGAAAATTCCCAATTTTCAAAACTGTGCAAAAATTTCCTTTTTTTTTTTTTTCACCCAAACACTCTTTATTCAAATACCAAACCAAATATTACTAAGTGGACTGCATCCATACGCTAGCTCAACTTGCTTCTGAAATGCTGATGCAAAAAACGCTGGAGAACCACAGAAATGCAAACTTTTACTTACTTCAGAAATTGCAAATTATAGCCAAATAAATAATAACAAGGTACAATGAGCCATGTACCTGAAATTCAATATTTATAAAGCTAGTGGATCACAGAGGATCAGAAGCCTCTAATATGAAGATGTTTTGAGGATAAAAACAAAGTGAAGATTAATTTCTTCTCCGTCTTCACAGGGATCTAGCATATTTGCCTTCTGTACTCCAGAGTTTAGCATAGCTTTGCAGCTGTACAAATAATTCCTTTTTTTCTGTTCTCTTAACAGGCGTTTAGAATTCCTTATTTGTTCTGTATTATTAAGTCAGGTAACAGCAAGGATAATGATGCTCCACCCTATGACCATGAAAGGAAGAAAAAGGAATTCACTTACCTGGAAAAATAGAAAGGATAGCCAACTGGAATTAAATGCAACCAATCAGGCCTAATTAAGGCAGATGAGACCAAACTGGAGTATGCTTTTTTACCATCAAGTTTAGATGAATAGCTCTACAAGAACCAAATAAGTCCTACTCCTGTGAGGTTTGTCAAATAGCATTTCATCTAAAACTCTTCAATGCGCTACAGATTAAGAGGATGACTGCTCTAAGGCATCAGAGCCGTAAGTTTTTAGTTCTGTTTAAGCAAATGCCTATTAAAGCACATTTATGGAAGAGAAAATGATGCTTTAATCACCTAAAAATCTGTTGCAAACTTATATTTTTACTTTTACCTAGTTATGCCAACACATCACAGCCAAAACTAAGAACTCCACTGTACACGGTAAGATGGTCCTTCCTGAGAAGTTTACAATTCAAATTGACAAGATGGAGAAAGCATGAGAGAAAGATAATCCCTACTCAATGACATGAAAATGAAGCATCACTCCATGATCATGGAGAAGAAATTCATTTAACTAAAAACTGAAACTAGATTTCTTGAATAACAGAAGAGCTATCCTTTCTTTGTGACAGCTGTTCTGTACATTTCAGATTTATTAGCCACATTAGGAGAAAACAGTTCCTGGAAAACTGACATAAAAATGGGGTATAAGTGAAAATACTCTAAATTCTTGCAGAATCATATCAAGCAGCAATTGTCTGAAGACAGAGCTCAAAGAATTCAAAGCATATATTAACTACTGGCCCTCTACCAATGTTGTATGTGTTACTGCTCCAGATCTGCTTACTTTACCCTAACCCAAACAGCAAGAGTTGCAGAATATTATTTCATACAAAGTGATTATTAATTGTCATATTACTTTAAAATATCAATTGCTTACTAGTGGTAACTGAAAATTTCATTTTTTCATAGCTTCTTAAAATACCATCAAGAACGACCACCTTTCTCCTAATAGCTGAATGCTTCTAATCAACTCCAAGAGCTTTTGACAAGCTCTTTTTCTTTTGTTTTGCCATCTGATAGATACACTCGGACACCTAGAGGCATAATCATTTGACCACATCAGAAAGTCCACAGTAAAAAATTTCTGTAGAATCATAGTCATGCTGGAAGATATGAAACAAAACAACGTCAATACTTCTGTTACTTTATTCACAGTTCACCTCCAGAGCCCTTTCAAACCAACACATTGCTTTCTTGCAGGATTATAATATCATGTATTAGGCGGCAGCTGATAACATATGGAGTGATAGCAAACTTTTGTTTAATACAAATGCGAAAATGAATACAGGAAAAAAATGATGGGCAAGTTGGTGGAAAAAGCTGTAAGGCAAGTCAATTTTTTAATTAAAAAACCCACATACCAGAGAATGTTAATGAGCCGAAAGTCCCCTGAGACCACTTTTACACATTCTGCACTATTTTGATGTCCCTGCTAAAGAAAACTGAACTGTTCTTACTCAGACCTGGTTGAAGACACGTTCTTTTTCTAATGTCATAGCAAAACTTGAAATCTGAAAGTATCTTATACACAGGGTTACTTTACTCACTTACTTTTAGCCGCTCAGAGTTATCAAACTAGAAGTAGAGAAGACAAAATGATCACAAGTCACAAAGAAAAAATTTCAATACCTTTAACTTCTTCATAAATGCTATCATCTATTGGTTCACTGCTCACTTGTCCAACATCATCATATTCCTCTTCATCCTCCTCAGGAATAGCATTAGATTCCATATCTATTTAACAGCAGTTTAAAAAGTTAACACTTACTAGGAAAGAATGACCAAGCAGAAATTTATGCAAAATGAAAACACAATTCTTCTATGACCTGGTCCTTACAGTATATTCTGCTTATTTTCTTATAATGTTCATAAGGGAGAGTTTTCAACCTAGATAGTATTCTCGGAGAAAAGCAAAAATCTTGCAAAAGGAGAGAAGTCATATAAAAGCTACAACATGATTTAAAACTAGGACTTGCTATTCAAAACTTGGACAAGTGGGCATACTACATATACAAACGATGCTAACAGACAGACCTACCATCACTAATCAGTATTGTCAATAAAGGCTACTGCTCTAACAGCCAGCTTACCTTGAATTACAAATTTGACTTGCTGTACCCATTCCTCTGCTTCTTTAGGAGTGGCAGCTGTAAACTATTCAACATTTATTAATAAGTACTAGCAGTAATGACAAAAACACAACTACAATTTCATTAGGAATAAAAAAGAGGGACCGTAACATTCTCGTCACTTCCTCAAGAAACCATTAGTAATTCTTTTCATGTCTTCTGGTACTTTTCTTGCAAGGATGCTTCTTATAATGTACAGCTAATTTTGACAAATTTACGTAATTGAAGGAGAGGATGATGGATTTGAAACTCTGATCAGCAGCTGGCAGCTGTGCAGAAAAAAAGCTGCTTCTCTTCATCAATGTCAAAGCCAGAACTGATGAACAAAATTTGCCCTTGACAATTAGAAGACACCCATGAATTTCTTTAGACTGCTGGGTACAGTTTTCTTAAAAATGTTCTTGTCAGACTCCAACACACTACCTGACAGCTTAATTAACTGGCTTTCAACTGCAATCTCAGATATTTAAAACTTATTAAACTTACATTCCATATTGATGTCTAGCAGATAGATCTCCAAATTGCACAGCTGATATGCGCCTTTACGTAGATTTTCCTTGCAAAGCCATGACCAATACAATATGTATGTATCACTGATATATATTTTAACTTTTTTTTACTATTTAATTCATGCAAGAAATCATGCAGACATACTATACAATAGATATTAAAACACTAACATTGAAATGACCAGTAGATAAAGATGATAGATTTCCTTGCTCTTGTCCAAAAAGATAATATTTGAACACATACATACATATTTTAAATCAGACTTTTTTTTTTCCTAATATATGAATATACAATTAAGCAAGCGAAGGTTGCCTTTTTTCATTAAGATGTCAGTGAAAGTTGTTTTACTGAAATGTTAATTCAGTAACTGGAATTGTAACGGCTTTATCAATTTAATTTCAAGTCAACATAAAAAGTCCAACCTGATAAATGCGCTTATCAGGAGCAGAGATTTCAAAACAGCAATCTTTCTTTGCATCCTTCCGAAGGCTATTATTCATTCTGATGGTGTAGCCCTCTAAGGCAAATTCACCTTTCTGTTGTTTGTCTGTTGGAGATAAAAAACAAAGTTAGAGCTTCATTTACAACAGGGAACGTAAGTGGCTCAGCAGGTTATCGCTTATTCAGATTTTTGTTTTCTATTTCCTGAATTTTCCAAAGAACAGGAAGGTTTTTACCAAAGTGATTAAGTGATGCTTCTGGAGATAAAGCTTTATTTTAAAGGAAGATGTATACAAAAGTACATTTTTCTGTAGGATGCCTAAGGAATTCCACAGGGGGATGTTTGCAGATGGTGGTCTTATTTAGTAAGAAGTGCATGTTATGACACTTGTACCTAGGGAAAGCCAAGAACTGGAACTTGCAAGACACGTTTCCTATAAATCAGTGTCTCTTTCAGCTTCAGTAAACCAATGGGAAAACCTGTCTAGCTCAGAACTTGCTGAGCTCCCTCCTAAACTAACCACTTCACTCAAAAAATAAACTTCAAACTCCTTTTTAAGCAATTGGAAAAGCTTCTTTTCACATTCTCCCACCCACTCCCAGATGTGCCTCCTTTCCACATGGCACAAATACAGAATGAATTTTGTTATAAATTCAGGTGTGTGTTCCAAAAGCATTTCTCTCAACACAGTAAATGTTTAATTAGCTAATAAAAGTACTGAGCCCTACCACAGTTTATTACGTAGAGCCATGTGGTTGTTTTAAAGACAATTCTACTTTTCAAAGGTTCTGGTTTATAAAAGTATCACTTAGAACAGGCCTGAGTTTAAATATACTGCATGTTGGGCAAGCTGCACCTGTGCACTCTTTCTGAGCTCTTCAGACCAGACGCTACATTTCATTTTATGTGCTCTGGCACGTTTTGGTGAATATTAAAAACAAACCCAAAAAGCAAAAGTAATTCAGTTTTGCAATTTCTGTAGATCACAGTGCAGCATTCACATGAAGATAGGCATCATCAGTCACATTTCGCTCAGGCAAACAAAGAACAAAGTACTGTTGCAAATGAAAGAAAACACCATTAAGTGTGGGGGTTTTCCCCACAGTACAGAAAAACATTAATTAACAATAAGCATCAGGCACAATAGCAAAACTGCTTTAAGAATTGCTGAACAGAACTTCGGTGCAAATCCAGCATCCATTACTTACGTTTGTCGAGAAAAGGAGAAAACTTCACAGTAGACAAAACAGCAAAAACTACAGTTTTCAACATAATTTTGTCATCTTTCTCGAAATTTAATAGGAAAGCATATCTTTTCTCCATTCCTGAGGGCAAAAATTGGCTAACACAGCAACACGAACATCATTGGATGTAAGGGCGGTCACCATACGAATACTCTTGCTAGTAATTTCACATGCACACAGACACAAATTCTTTGTCCTTCCACCTTTTTATGAACTCTCACCCACGGCAAGTAAATACCAAATAACACAATTATATGAGCAGGGCACTGTTCTATTTTCTCATCTAGTCCCTTCCCCCACAGTAAATTTTATTATGTTTTAATTAGTACCAATGATACAGTACTAATATTTTATATTTGCTCAATCCTCCACCCCCATATCAAGCCACACACAGTTGCAAAATTCATGGAATCGCATCAAGGCAGATATTAGAAATAATAACTTGCAATAGGTTAACTAAGTTCACTTTTAATGAAATTCAATTCTGCCTAGAAATTTCATTGTTCCCTCACTTGCAACCTCAGGGAGAAGATGAAGTGAAACACATTAATTTCTCACTCTCCCATGCTGGAGGTTTATCAAAACCCAAGAAGATAGGAGCACGCAGACAGAATAAACAAACACCAGGTTCAAAAGGTAAAAACATTTTGTCAAGATAAAAATGAGGCAAGTATTCAAATTTAATCTCTTGGATTATTTCTGAGACTGCTTCTCTGTGACACAGATGATCCCTTTTAGTAATATAGTTTTCCGAGCTAATTTCAGATGATCTCTGTACTGCTACTCCTTCTTTCAAAGAGCATTAAAGTTAAAACACAAACATGCTGTACTTTGCATTGGAAGGGGAATGTGATGCATGGTATCCATATTGCATTTGATTGTTTTATTATTTATACAGTCTTTGTCTTATCTGAACACACTGTTCCAGTGCTAATTAAAATTACCTGTATGCACCACCAAAAAAAAAAAAAAATCCTTTGCTATTACATTCTTTCACTGCCCTTTATAGCAACAGATTAGTCATAGCATTGCTACTTTTGCTTCACACTGTCTGTGCAGTGAAGTACCTCTGATTAAAGCCTAGTGTAGCATTACACATATGCTTAAAATGTTGACCATGAGGAAATTTTAAGACGAGACGGTTCACAGCCCTGACCTAGAACCCATTAAAGTTGAAAGAAAGACTCCCAGTATGCATTCACAACTCCCTGTGGCAGCAAGCCAGAGAAGACCTAGTATGTCCTGAGAAACAGCTCCACAAACACAGAATGGCAGGACACAGGTCAGCTGTATGCTCTGACGGTGACAAGCAATGGAGGTCTACAAATCCCAGTTGCTCTTGCAGAATACACCTTTCCAGGCAGGATTGGAGACGAAGCCCAACACCTGATCACCACGGAGAGAACTATGACCCATGGTAGTTGTTTGGCCAGGCACAGTAGTCATGTGCAGGCTTGAAAGCAGGGCCATCTTGTGATCATCAGACTCAATGAACATCTCTACTTCATTTATCAGCAAAGGCTTGCAGCTAAATAGGTATGCAGACAGACTTGGGCTTTCAGTTTAAAGCTGTCCTGTGAAGTTAGTGCCCCAGTGACTTCTGTGAACTTTCACATTCAGAGCTATTTTGTTTATATCAGAAATACTTTCTGGAGACCGTGCTTTAGGGAAAGTTATGCAGTGTTTGATGTTTAAAAACTTTGAAGACTTAAAGAATTTACTTGGAGACTCAAAATTACACATAGTTGTTTTTTATGGCAGGAGCCTTAAAAGTAGCTTCAGAAAGCACATTTACATTACAGAGATTTCACTTTCATTTTGAACCCATAAATCAGAACCAGAGTTTTGCTTAGGCAGAAATACAACAGCATATTTAGGAGGAACTAGAGACAGACACGTAGGTGGAACACACTCCTCTGAAGACTGATAACATTCTTACTGTCTCTTATTTTCTCAAGATAGGGCTTTGCAATTCAACAACGGAAAACCCTGAAGTTGTCCCAGAACAATATAGAACAGAACTGCAAAAAGTATAATACTATCAGTCTCGAAAAACAAAAAGAACTGTGAACATCATCAAGCACAAGTTGTTCCACAATTAAGTCAAATCTCATTTCAGAATATGCTGTTCTTTACTCTCATCTCCTCCTTCTCTTTCCTTCTCTTGATATCAGGCACACAACAGAAAAGTAAATCTGTGTCTGTGTAGATCATTTTGCATCAGGAATTCAGATTTGTAAAAAGCTAGTATAACAGAGTAGAAAGTCAGGCACTAAGTATTAAAAAGAAAAGTCAAAACTAGTACATAGATACTTGAGAGAAATAAATATGAAGGGCTATATTTAAAATGGAAAAAATACAGATCTGAATGACATTTGAGAGCCACGTTAAACATTTTTCTTACATATAAACTTCATTCATCCTCAAAATAGTGAAATGTTGTTAACAATGGAAACATTTCCCATAATAATAGGAAAAAAAAGTCTCAAGGGAAGGAGAGAAAAAGGGGTCTGAAGAAACCTTGCATAACTGAGTCCATGGGAACTTTTAAAACAAAGAAGGGTAAACCTTCAATGGGGTCTTGAAATGATTGGGTTGTAAATTTGAGGCCTAAGGCGATGTGCTCATATTATTAGCACATGTAAAAAGAATTAGTGCATTCTGAAGAACAGAGAGGACTGGGATAGTAGAAAGGAAAGAAGTTACAGAGAAAGGCACAAGGAACAAAGGCAAACAGAAATATTTCAGAGAGTGATAAAGTATTTATAGATACTATTAGAATCTATAATTTAACTCTTCATCTTGAAATTAGGAGCCTGTAAGATCTTATGGTTTACACAGCTTCATGCTAAATGTAGTTTCACATACTCGTCCACATGCAGGATGTCTGCTTTCTAAAAATAGTAAGTGTCAGTATCTCCAAAATGGTAATTCCTTTTCCAGCTTTTGGAATAGTCCTTTCCAAATGCAAGCATAGGATTTCTTCCCTTTTAGATAGCACATCTGAAATGCAGCAAACTTTTTTTTTTTTTTTCCTTTCCTTTAATTTAGTCCTCTGAGAAATCTAAATTTAAAAAAAAATAAGAAATGGAGGCAATGATTGAAACATACTATTAAGGGCAGAAGTTTTTTTATATTCAGTTTGCTTATACTCAATAGTTATTTTTTAAATAACACACTATTAATGGCAAGTATAAGGTCTCAAGGTCTGAATTTAACATTCTCATAGCAGAAGATTCAGTACTTATTAGATAGATGCCTTTGATTGCCATCACCCTGCTACAACAAAGTCTTATTGAACATTCACAAATGCTGCAGGTTTCAATTATGGAGTCTGTCAAGAGAAAAGTCTAAACTAAACAAGGATTTTTGCCTTTCTTATGTGGTTGTTCAGAGAGGGAAGACTAAAAGAAGGAGGTCTGCAGCTAAAAGCAAAATGATACTTCGACAGCTTTCCATTGAGTTTGTATATCTTTCTTCACTCCTAGAAGGATAAATTTGCAAGTTTAACACATGGCAGAAATTCCAGTAGCCTGGTTAGGCGAGTCACTGGGACAGTGCAACTAGGCTTCCCTCTCCCTTAATATTGTTCAGTCAGCAAGTTCTTAAAACCCCTCTTTTGCACAAATAGAAGTAGTCCATCCATTGGCCTGGCCATCACTATCTTACTATTCAGAGAAATCCAAAATTTTCACATCCATGTTAAAAATAAAGAAAAAATAAATTTAAAAAAAAAAATAAACTCAGACTTTTCTAAAAGCTTCTGAATTATCCCCTTCTTCAATATCATATTACTGGCAGGCAGGCAGACACCACTTTCAAGTTATAAAAATGAAAATAAATTTTTAGTGCCCATTAACAGGGGGAAAAATTACCATGACGTTATCAATTACTGTCTTGCTAAACATTTAGCTGATCTCTCCAGTTTGCTGAGACAGAAGGGCATATAACATTGTGGCCTAGAGAGAAAGAAGTAATGAAGCCATTAATTCATTCATTTGTAAAGCAACAAATTAACTTTCCTTCTTCACATGCACTTTGAGGTCTGAAAGGTTAGCCATACCACCGAGGTGCTTATACCACCACAGGAACTGCCAGAGATAATACAGAAAAAGAATATGCAAACAGGGTACTCAACTCAGGATGCAACTGCATGGAAGCAAAGAAGAGAAGGACTATAAAAGGTTTATGGAAGGAAAGACTATGAAAAGGAGGACCAGGCAAGCTTCTGGAAATCCAAGCCAGCTCTGTCATTTGAACACACCTCTCCACAATGGTGTGGGCCACATGCCGGCAACAGATACTGCAGCACAAACGCAAAATGCTTCCTGCCATCCCTATTTCTGACATGTAATTAGGTCAAATCTTTAAGCCTTGTTCCTCCATCTACTCCACATATCAGTGATCAGCGCGAAAAAAAAAACAACATAGGTGATTCGCTGAGACCTGTCTATATCACAGGGATAAATAACACTGTTTCACTATCCAGTGCTGCACCAAATGTACAAGAAAATAGAAGAGGAAACAGGGAAACAAGACATTCATTAGCCTGCAGGCATCACAACTGTTAAAAGGGTGCTTGTAATCTCTTAGGTCAACACACACATACACACAAACATACAGTCATTTGCTGTATTTTCACAGGCTTTAGCTTGTACTATATTCTCCTGCACTAGGCCTCATATTTTTCATCATTCAGCTCTAAATAAATTATTCTGAAACTTCTCCTTACATGTTTGTGAGCTTTATACACTTCCATTCTTCTTGCTTTCCCAATGTAAAAAGGAGAAAGAAGAATTAAAAGTGTTTTGGAAAAAAATCTACACAACCTAATAATAGCATTCAGTTACATTTACATTGATACTTAAGCGTTAAAATCAAACCTTGGCCAACAAAATACACACTGCACCAGACAAAATCTCTGTGACAGATTACTCACCTATGTGTCCAGTTTTAAAATACACACAAAGAAAAACAAGCCAAGCAGGACCTAGAAATCCCTGCTGCCGCTCTGCATTACGTCCCGCAATGCACAGGCACTTGCAGTCCATTACCCGTTAAAAACGACACAGGCAGCAGGACTGAGCACATATGGAATCCTCGTCCCTCTTCAAACCAGGTTCACATCAACGAGGGGGAATTTTCGTGTCATGTGAATCAGCCCTGGAACCTGTCAGAAATGAGGGCCCAGCTGATACAAAACATCTGCAGGCACTGCACAGGCTAGGGCCGACCGGCATCATTTAGACGGACACCATCCCAGAAATTCAGGAGGTGGCAGCAATTTGCATGGAGCCACCCAAATGCATACTTCACCACTACAGTCAATAAGAGCACACATTTTCTACGACATCCAAGTTATCTGGTACAGCATCAACGGTCACAGTAAAAGAAGAAGGGCCCCAATACGACAGCATACTACAGCAGGTACCACTGCTGGCCACAATAGTGTGAGTGAAAACAGTTTTAGGTCCTTTCAGTGACTAAATGCCACATCTCCTCAGGACTGTCTCATCGCGCACTTTGTCCATGCTGACCATCTGCAGCTAAACAGCATGATAAACACCAGCACATATGTTCACAACCATCAGGACAACAGCTCAGCTTCAACAGCAAACTAGTTTGTCATGGAACTACAGCAGTCGCTGCTATCCAGTTTCCTCACAATGATGGCAATTCACTTCTGCATGGGAACAGGCACCTTTATGTACTATGGCATTAGAGGGACAAAGAAAGTACCTCTGATCAGTCTAGAGAAAAAGCATCCTTCTTCAAAGGTAAGTTCAGGTGTGAATGTTGGTCCCAGATCTGCAAGATTAAAGAATTCCGCCATACTGCGCTAATTTTTCTGCACTAGCAGAACCAGTCACATGGACGTAGGGCAGAAATTCATGCATCTGATTTATTTGGTTCCTCCATAAGCTACCGTTTGGAGTCTGGCCATGCCTATACAATTCCCATGGACTATGTGCCTCTCCCACATCATTAGGTTATGGTTAGGAGGATCTTCCCCAAACAATCTGCAACCTACAGAAGCTATCCATGCATAAGTGAAAGCATCTGTCTATAGATCCATAAAGGAAAGAGATCCCACAGTACATCACAGTCAGTTCCTAACATGACACCAGCCTGCCAAGTGCTAGGGAACATGATTCCATGTATGTCAGCTTTACAGCACAGGTATTAGAAGTTACAACGCAGCCTTGATAGTCAGGGTGTTGCAAAAGAAAAAAAAAAAAAAAAAAAAAAAAAAGATAGAAAAAGGGCAGGTGGGCAGTTTTCCTGCCTTAATGCAAAGACCACATGCTAAAAAGTATAAATAATCATTAGCATAGACACAAGAAAAAAAAAATACCAAGCTTTTTCTTTTTTTTTTTTCCAAAAACTAGCAGATGAAAAGACAAAGATTTAAAATCGCAGAACAATCTTTAAGAACTAGCAACATATTCTGACCAAAAAATTTTTCAAGTACTAGGTAATGTATAACTATATATAAACAAACAGAACAAGGTAATTTTCCAGAGAAAGAAATAATTACTGACAAATCAGTGTTATGCCATACCTCCTCAAAATTTTTGAATAGAGATGGTTTATGGTTTTGAAGCTTGATCACTTTGTAAATACCAAGGAAAGAGTAAAGAAGAAAAGGGAGTATTTAGTAGATATACTAACAAAAGTCTAGAAACAAAGAATATGATGGGAAACTGTAGCAAGATGAAAACTGAACTTACAGTTAGACCCTTACTTTATTTCTTTTGTTTTTAAAGAGACAATGAGTTTAAATGAGTCACCATATTGAGGAATGAAACAAACTGGACCAAATTAAATTAGTCTTTGAATAAAACAACACAAGGTAACTACCTGCACTAATCTCAAGTAGAGTCACACAAACATAAGCAGAAGAAATAAAAGCTTCAATTGAAAGTCTTCCCAAGAATAAGTATTTTTGGGGGCTGGGGGGAAGACATAATTGCACTTTTAAGATTTACTAAGATATATTTCCGTATCATTTGTTTTACCCTTAAATATCAAATACACTTGGCACACAATTTAAAGGATGCTTTATTTGACTGTCAATTTTAAAAATTCAAAGTGATATCCCAACATTTATGACAGATTCTTTCTAAACTGGCCATTAAAAGTTAAGTCACCTTCAGAAGCTAGCTTCAGTCTCCATGACTGGCTTTTAGTTAAATAGATTACTTCATTTCTAGCTTTTTCGGAACATAAGCTATTTAGAAAAAAACACAGAACTCCACTATATGGTTTTTAGACTAACATTTTCCTGAATAGAACCATCTTTAAAGAACCTAGAAGGTATAATTGCTAGAGGGCATTTTAAAATTAAAATTCTATTTATACAGAAAAAAGTGTCCAGTAAATCAATTTAGTACCAGCATATTATCAAACCTAATAGATAGCTGTTATTGGTGCACAAAGTAACTTCACAAGTACCTTAATATTTTTTCCTCAGTCTCGCTGCTTTAGAAAATGAGCACATCATTTACAGATTCTGAAGAATATTTACACATTTTTAAAATTCACAACACTGTTTAAGAATCAACTTTTAAAAGTTTCATTTGCTTTCTTAAAATGATCTTAGATTTGCAGTTTCCAACTCCACTAAAGCTTCCGTATTCTCCGTGCATTAAAAGATCACTTTTCTAGTTTATCATAATTATTATAATTACCTTTGTCACTTCCGTAATAATAGAAGACCGTCTTACTGATAGCACACCAACGCTTCTGCCATTCAAAGCCAAGAAAACTGTGGTCTGCAATTAATATAATTTGTGTTTACTTTCACTTTTTGTCATTATTGAACACAAATTTGTTAATTCTTTTCAAGGGTGAGATAAAAGGGAGGAGGAGACAGGAAAAGCACTAAAGAAAGGAAACAAAATCTGATTATTAAGAAGAGAAATGTATGGCAGCGAGAAGGAAATTAGAAATAAGAATTGGTGATAAGGAAACGAATGGGAATTTGAAATCATATAAAGAGAGAAGTCATGTGTAACATTAAATATAAGGAAATAATGAACAACTTCCTAAATATTTCCTAGAGTTATTGCAGCATTAAGTGGGTATTAAAGTGACAATATAAGATTTATTGAATCAAGGTAAATATTGACTGAATCAAAGCTGAGATCAATACTTGCCCTCTTGAAGGAAAATAAATCTTGATGCTCACTGAAACATGAAGTCAACATATGGTACTTTTACAGATGTTCCTAATGTTTTCTTCAAAAATATCTGAAAGTCTCCGAATTGTGGCTGACAGTGGACTTTCACAGCACGATTTTTTTAGCCAATAAAGAAATAGGATTTTCTTTTAATACTACAGGAGCAATTATGTGCTGTGTTTCTTTTGCATAATAATGCTTCAACAATTCAGCTTCTATTCAATTTTATCTATCATTGCTGTATGAAGTTATTTGTGTGTATAAGATCAAATACTGACACATAGACTTCCCAGATACAAAATATGCACTAGTTTTCACAAAGACAGTTAGACTTACCTTTTCTGCGTTTTTCCAGGTATCCAGCCTTCAGAACGAACTGAAGATCCTGAGCTGCAACAGGAGGAAACTGATTCCCTGAAAGAAAAATAAACTCTGTAAAGCACCGCTTTTCAAGAAAAATGCTATAGTAGCATTAATAAACTTCAGCATTACTAAACTTACGGATTTTACACTTTCAATATGCAGGAGCTACTAAAAAAAATAATTCTAGTAACTACTATGCCAGATTATTTTAAGTACAAAAACCCTCTAACTATAAATGTCAGACGTTTGCTACTGTCCTCATGACTTTAGCAATGAAAAATATAGCTGTGTAGCAGGCCCTGCAAGTCTCAGAAAGAAAAACAGATAATTAAACAAGCTACAGCAACTTAGAAAACATGTTTGTGTTTTGAACATGGTCTGTAAAGCAAGTTGGATAACGAAAGCAGTACATTTTCAAATGTGCAAACAAAACCAAGTATCACAATTCAACACAATTAAATCAGGAATGTGGTTTTCAATACCAGCTTCATACAAAAATATCTTCAAACATACAAGGTGAAGACCCTCTGTTACGTCGCCTACTAAAAAATAAACCAGATGAAAAGGTGATAAAAAGTGATGCCTGCTGTTGACAGACATTGCCTGATTTGCAATATGACGTGAAAGTACTGCCTATAGGATCTATTTGGTGATACTGGATAGACCAAAGACATTGCACGAAAGTCTACAAAATATTTGATCTTCAGACATTAATTTTAGCTTTTGTAGAATATATCTGCATCTGCAAAATGGTATGTTCCAGTGTATTTTTTCCTTTTTCTCAATCACTAATTCATAGCTAGAAGCATGAGACCAACCAGTCAACCCTGCCTCATCTTAAAATAGAAATCTATGTATTAAAAATTGCATCTTTTTCCTGCATCCTAAAACAACAGAATTATGATTTAAATGGAATTGCTAGTATTAAGAATAGGAATATGTTAGATATGTCTAATAATTAACATGTATATAAATGTTATACTGTTTACCACAAGCAAAAAAGCAGAACAGAAGCTATTCCTGTGCCGCTGGCTTTTTAAGTGCGTGTGAGCACCACAGTGAAGTTCCTACTACTTATTATCATCAAATATTCATAAGAGTCACTGTAGGTAGGTAGGCAGCAATTATTCATCAAAATATATGTAATCTCATTAAGTTCTACCAATATAAACATACAAAAAAGGACTGATATCAGCAGACAATCCCTGTGCTAAAAACCAACAATTTAAACTATGTAGTGTAGGTTAAAGATCAATTGTCTGACCTTGAACCAAGAACACTGTCTCTGGATGGTGATGCCAACTTCCTGGATTTTTAGGTCGTCCCTTAAAATAGAATTTTTTTTAATGTGTCCACAAATAAGTTGGTTTATGGTGGTCTTACTTAAATACAGTTGTGAAAGGAAAAACCAATAGAAACATGCAGAGGATGTAATTTTTTAAAGCATAAAATACTGAAAATGATAATGCATTCTTTAAATAATACAACTGGCTCTTTAGACCACGAAAGATTTTGTTGGATACCATAAGACAGTAGATAGAATTTTATACACATTGACATTTCCACAGATTTTTATTATTATTATTATTAAAGATTAGGAGTACAGTAGCTATTATTTCAGCTTCTGCGGAATTCTTACTACTGTGTTAAAAATACAAGAGTTATTGGCTCCATGTACATGCATTATAAAATGGTGCAGCTGTCCCCCCTTCCCTGATAATATGCAATCACTGCACAACGGTAGGTGAGAATTTAACACAAAGACACTCGCTGGCTGGTACGTGATAAGTTTAATAGTTACTTAAAAAGATGATTTAATGCTGATATTATGAGTGGGGGAGGTGAAGAGTTTTACAAATATACATAGTGTGCTGCTTTATATTGGTCATTGGGAGGCATCAGTGTGCAACACTTACAGCTTTACCTCATCTGGTAAGACCTCATTTTAGAACAGTGCATCCCCCACAGATGTGGAAGACATAAAACCTAATTAAACAAACAAAACTAGTTCACTCTCAATTTTTTTCATTTAAGAATTTCAGCCACTATTTGGATCTAATTTCATACGTTATTGTTTTTATCAGTTTGGGTTTTGATGAGGAAGCTTGGCAAGTGATCATTTAGCGAACAGTCAAATCAAAAGGGATATACAGTCCTGGAGAACCACATACTCTGGGGACTCTTTAATGTTATCCTGCCTGTAGGTAGAAGCCCATCTGAACTGACTACCTTCAGAGAGTCAAAATTCCATTCTCGGTTTTGCTACTTCTGCTGAGAGAAGTCAGGATAAATTTGACAATTTATTTTGCATAGGGCACTGAAAGCTTGCGAGGAAAAGAACCTACATGAAAAAAGGCAGTCTTCCACTGTTCTGGTGGCATAGCAGAAAGGCATCCTCCTCCCACCCTCAACCTGTAGAGAAGACAGTTTCTTTTTCTGTTCCTCAAAGCAACTGAGTCAGTAACTCCACAAAACAAGCAGCAGCTGGTCAGCCCCACTGCCACTCACAATCTATAAGTAGCTGAAGCAGAAACAGATCATGTGCATATTATCATCCTTCTGTCAGAGAAGCCTGGGAACCAAAAAATATGATGGAACTTTAGTGGAAGGGCAGGAGAAACAGACCCAACTGTAATATCCGAAGACACATACAGCTGTACATGAAAGAAAAAGCATAAATCTGGCTAAATTCTTTCTTTCATTGCTCCGTACCTCCAGAAGGAAGGGGAGGGAGAATAAGTAGTATGAAAAGTATAAAGGAAAGAGAAAGAACCACCCCCTCACATTCTCATTAACCACAGGTGTTGTGCAGATGCGGCAGGAAGAAGGCACAAACACAGATATACTCTTACCCCTGTACTGCAACAAACACGAGGGGAAGAAAGAAGAGAGAATGACATCTTCCTTACAGCTACTGCCTAGAGTAAGCATGGAAGATTCCTAAACTGTGTTACCTTTCTTCCATTTTTTTTCATTGCTTTACTCTCTTATCTACATCTCAAACAGGATTTAGAGTGAACTGCAATCCCTAGATGTGGGAACTCCCAACCGGAAGTTCGGAATTTGCACAACAGGTTGTTTTTTGCAGTTGCTTTCAAACAAAATGTTGCTTCCCCATTCGTTTGAATTAGATCAGGCTTGGCATAAACCTCCAAAAAAGTATCACTAAAGCAGCACTTTGTTATAGTAAAGCAACATTACACTAGCAGCTGAGATCAGAGACTCATCAGTTGATGACTGCATGGGATTTTGAATAAGGTATCTCCTTCTACAAATAATCTATTTAACACAGAGAAAGACTGCCAAGAGAGGCATTACTTTTTTTAATAAAGAACTGTGAAGCAAATTAAACAAGTTGCTTCAAATCACATACTCTATAGAGTTTAGAGCTCTGAATTCCCAAACATTATACTCCCATGCACATCCCAGGATGTCTTCAGGACAGGGAAAATTTTTCCCTTCCCTCATGGATGCAGGTGAAATGGCCTGAATTTCAGCTTCCTCTAATTTCACTGGAGATTGACCAAGATAAGAAATTAACTTTAGAGATGCAAGGAGTTTGTGTCCTAAGGATGCAAGATAGGGCCTACTGGTATTCACTTTCTTGGGTGTCTCTGTGTTTGTTGCTCAGATACTTATGGTCAAGTTGACTACCAGATCGGAGTAAAATTTCTCTCCCAAAATCAGACCAGCAGAGACCACTATGTCTTCCTACCTACTTCCTACCTCTGTATGGTCTTTTTACCGATATGTCTCAAGGATTTTGAAATAAAGATGTTTAAATGGCCCATAGTCTTTCCTGGTTTCTCCTTTAGTACACTGTAGTTTCTGAAGCCAGTTTTAAATACCAAAGTGGCACTGTGAGTCAAGAAGTGCTCTGTGGCAGGCAGCTGTATGAGTGTACAGCTGAAGAAAGGTACAACAATTACTCCTATGTACCCTTCCAGATTTAATTTCTGCTGTATCATTGCCCTGACAGTGGTGGGCAAGCACAGAGCTCAGGATACAAAAAACGTCTCCTTTCCATTCCTGAGTTTCTACCTCACAAATAATATCTTGAATCTTATTCTTTTGATGTGAAAAATCAGATCAATACTACCCAATACATGGGGAGATGATTGCATCCCCAATATACAGTATAAAATGAGGGAGGTCCATCTGCTTAATGTTAAAGGTTTTCCTTCTTTCTTGACCACCCACTCTGGGAGATGAATCTCCCAGAATAATTTCTCTTCTTATCCTGGTGGGAATTACTTCAACGTACTCCAAAGTAAAATCTGCAAGCTATGCTCCACATGCATATTCCCAGACTGATGTGTACAAAGGCCATGAAAGACCAGATCAAAATATTTATGAGGCCTAAACCTTCAAATTTTAGAGAAAAGTAAATTACACATATAAAGCACCAGGCTCTTTCTCTGGGTTCTAGGCACTCTTGTGCCAAGTGAGCAGCTGGCAGTTATTATAATGCTATTGCAGCCAGGCTAGAAATTCCTCCAGTGAAAAGAAAATGAAATGCTCTCACTCAAGCATAAAGCCAGCTTTTCTACCAGTCATGCTTTGACTTCAGAAAAACATGAACATTATTAACATAGGTGTACTAATGTACAGGTTCCACTGCACAAATCCCACAAATCCAGTTTATCTTGTGACTTCAGGAAGACCTCAGACTACAGCTCATGGCGTGGCTACAATTTTTGCAGCTTGGTAATTGGTCAAAAGTCTGAATGATACAATCTTGCAAACTACTGCAATAGTGAATTTGGCCCATTACTTAAAAACAGTTTCATCAGTGTCACTCCACACGATAAAGCACAAAATTCAGTTATGTATTGCATTTTGATTTTTGGAGGACCCAAAGGCGTTAAAATTCCATTCTGTATACAAAATAAATAAAACAAAACCAGGTTGTATTATTCTGCACTGTATACCAATAGGAATACTTTCCGTTTCTTCAATGTGGGCTAAGGGATACATAAAGCAAGAAGTAATTAGAGGTCAATGCATTCTAAAGAGGTGCTTAGCATGCTTATGGGAAGTTAAACAGGCGA